GGTGGTGCGCGTTGTCGCCCACAATCGAAAAACCTGGAAACGTGTTGCGCCGTCGACGATCCGCCTGGCTGATCTCATTTCGACGGCGAATGATATAATTTCCCGCCAAGCTCAGGCCACTTGATGCCTCCCATTAGATAATACCATCGCGGCTTACAGTCAAATCAATCTACGAGTTCACAAAGTGCACAAGATCAAGTTTTTTGGTTTGAGAAGAGTTGTAGAATATCAATTGCAAAATCTCCAAATAGTACAGCTGGTACAGTATCGTTTTAAAACGCCTTGTAAACATGCTAAAAAAGTGCTTCATAAAATAAATCCAAAAAAAATCTTTATTATAGAAAACTCCAATCCCAAGTATCCAAGCAAAACTTTGACTCCCCGAACTTTTTTGTGGTTTTCAGCCGTGATAAAACAAAAGGAACGCCGGAGGTAAGGTTGTTTTTGTGTGACATTTGTCCAGGAGCCGTGAATCGAGACCGTTGAACCCTTCTTTTTCTTGAGGTGTATCAAGTCGAGAGGGGTATCCAATGCAGTATTAAAAACAAGTGTATATAAACGCCTGTTGTTTCCCCAAATGATGAAAGCAGAAATGTTGACTTTGGGTATAAAAGAGGTCGGGCCGAAAGAAAAGAAGTATTAAGGACCTCCTCCGTTGAACTCGCATTTAGTGTCGTCCAAGGTTTCGGATCTTGTTGACAATTCTGTCGGCATTGGAAGCAATCGAGCGACTCGAGTATCCGCTGTGGTGCGAGCTTTCCGAGACCCTCCTGACTGATCCTTCCAGGCTGACTCTGTCCTCCTCAGCTTCGCTGTCGTGACCTTCCTCCTCATGAGGAACGATGTTTCCGGCGCCACCACGGCCAACGGTGTACATTGGAGCAATGGAGTCACGTCGGAGCTTGTCGCGCTGAAGCTCTTCGTCGAAGGAGAACATGGCACGCTCCGATGCTGCGTGAGCGTTACCGACACCACCGCGACCACCGTAAAATGGACGAGATTGTGGCTTGATGTCGTGGGTCTTAGCTTTAGGAGCCGCGATTTCGGCTGAAGTAAGCTTGCGATAGTTGCCGGCGCCGCCAATGCCGGTGTGGTAGTAGGCGGTGTGTGGAGCTGGTTCGTAGGTGGTGAAGCCCATTGTTGATATTGTAGAGGGGGTTATATGAGATAGAAGTAGTGGGTTTTGTTGAAGTAAAGTAATGAAGCTATGAAGCTTTGACTGTCGATAGAGGTTTTTGTCTCGTAAGAGATATTGAAGTCTTGTTGGAAGCTAGACTGATAATCTTGAAGATGCTGATGATGATAAGCCAGAAAGACCAGGTATGTCCACCAGGAACTGGCTCCTTATATACCAATTTCCATTCCAAGACACCTGGGCTCGATGGCGAGTCCGAAAGTTCATTGCTATGACACATTGCTTCATCGAAATAGCTAGATCGTTAATAATGGGAATGCAAAAGAGGCAGAGGGGCATACGGGAAGAAGCAAAGAAACAAGGCATGACCCTGTCCTAGCGCGCATTTCCCCAGATTTTCATAACGGATGTGGCCCGAAGGACTGCTGGTGTGCAGCCTGTCCAACCAGAGTGCCAGAATCCTGCCATGAGCCCCAGCTTTTTTAGCTTTCTGCGGTTTGTTCTTTTTCCTCGCTCTTTTTCCTCCTTTCTGCGGTTCGGGAAAAAGCAAAGTCCCAAGGTACAAAATTTTTTTTTCATGCGGATTTTTTTTCGAAGAGCGCACCGCTGGCAAGCGCAGGTGATCCAACCTTAACGCTGGGCTGGCACCATTCGGACTCCCCTTTGCTTTTGGAGCCAGCTAATTAGGGATACCGTGTGATGTCGTCTTTGAGCGTCTCGATGATGTATGTTACAGCCCCATAGCCCCTCCTGTCTGAGGAAAAATTTGCTTCGGGGTTCCTCTGGGATGCTAAAGCTTCCTTCGGTAGCAGCTTCAGCGGCCTGGAATGGAAGTATTATGTAAAGCTCTCACTCCACCGTTATTACCGGGAACGGCCTTCTCGTTTCTGACTGGTCGTCAACTCTCTGGGCGTATTAAACGATGCTGCTATATTTGCGACTTTCAGGTTGTCGGTAGCTGCCCGGCCGCGAACCGGAGAGCGCACGTGGTGCCTGACCTCACACCCTTTGGACGCCGGTTTGGCATTGTTTTTCAATTTCTGCTTGTTGAGCTCAATGGTCCAAAATCGATGAAGCCCGAAAGACATCACGACACAACAGCCGGATGAAACGGACAATGCCAGAGTCATCCGCTGAGCAGACGTCAACCACACAAAGCGATGCTGTAATGACGATGTTGTGAATCCATTCCAGTCGATGCTGTGCCCAGCTCCGACAAGACAAAGCGAAGATGTTACTCAAATGTTTAATCGCCTTAGCAAACGAAGGATCCCCGAACTCCAATTTCCCGCGAAGTGAGTAGTTGTTTTCTGGTAGTACAGAAATATAATATTTTCAGCATACCGAAACGTAACAGTAATAGCACCATTCCTTGACGCAATACGAAGCCGTTCCCTCATCATGAACGCATCTGTCTATAGGCAAGGCAAAAAGCTTGTTAGCAGATGTTGTAGATGCCTTTCCCGGGAAATATTACGTTATACCTTCGCATGGAATTTGCTCCCCGGCAGCCTCCGACTGAGCCGATGCCGTGTCAGGGGGCCAAAATGCCCTCGACCTCGTAAGCTCGAAGGAATGGCCAATGGACACGGTCAGGTGGTCTAGACGCCCTCCCAAGAGCTGTCCTCTTACCTAAAAATTGGCTAAAAACAACCCAGAAGCAGTGGCCTCATTCGAGACGCCGATTCTTGGAACCAGCTTCCCTCCTAGCCCTACCACCTCGCTAGTTCGAGCTGATGGTGTGTGAGTGGAGTCTCTCCGCGGAGTCTGATTGGGGCAGAAGCGGTGGAACGAACGAGAGCTCGCCAGCTCTTAGAAAAGGCATTTCTATTACCCCCATTTTATCAAATCGTAATTGACATAAAGACCGTAAATTGCCCCCTTTTTGGCCATTTTGCCAGGCCTTCTTGGTAAATTCCTCAAGCTTCCCCTCATTCTTTAGCAGGGGAAAAAAAAAAAAAAAAAAAAAAAAGGATTCTGCCAGGTTAGAACGAAATGAATGATGAGGCCGATTCAGAATCCCTCGAAACGCGGAATTTGGACTTGAATCATGCCACGATGGGGTAATTAAATCTAAAATGGCATAGACTCCCAACCAACCAGCGTCGAAGCTTCCGCTGCCCGTTCCAATGGCGATATTTCACTGGTGGATTTCGACAACAGGTGCAACACATCGCCTCCAATGAGCTCCCGCCACCCAACCGTTTCATATATATCTGGGTTAGATCTATAGACGTGGTTCCGTATGTTATTACATACACTCCGACCCGTAACACCTTCTCTCGAGGAGACCCCATGTGCGTTCTCCGTCGAACGGTTAAACACCACAAAAACCTCCGAGATCACATCACAGATTGATGCAGGTTGTCGGCCGATGGTGCAGCTTGGCTAGCGAGCCTGTGGCCTATGCTTCGGCTTTGGCACTCGGTATGCAATGTGTGTAGACGGCACGAGTGTTGGTATGGGCTTAGATCTCTGAACTGTTCTTGGATTCTATTACCTGAGAAATAACTCAATCCATCATCATTTCGACATCGATCGAGTAATTGCATCTAAGTAACTACAACTGTTGGAATTCTTGCATGATCATCGATACATATTGCGGCATCATAATATTCCACCGCTTTGAGGTCCTGAAAACATCACGATCAAAATTCCACTCAAGCTCCGGTGCGGAACCGATCCAATGAAGCCTGGTGTTTCTCCACACTGCACATCGAAACCCACATCTAGAGACCCAGATCCAGCGCATCGAAAGTGCATCGGCGTGATCCCGTCGCATTAGCTCAAAAGGTCCGACATCGACGCGAAACAACAGGCTCTCCACCTGAGAAAAAAAAATTTAGCGCAGCTCCGCCAGGACTGAGGCTAACCCTGTTCGGTTTCCCCAGATTCTTTTGTCAAGTGGATCCATGGGATCGAATTCCCCCTTTTATGGAGATTTCTTACTTGTCCTCAGGTTTACTTTCTTTTTCCTGGAGGGCACCTGAGCGCTCTTTCTTTTCGGTTAAACGCTGAAGGCTGTCAGAACCTGTTCGTCAGAGCCGCGGCGCAGAAAGGCAGCGCAGCGCAATTACTTGCTGCAATGAATTCTTGGAAGCGAGTAAAAAGTAAACGTAAACCCCGATTTAAAATTTTTAAAATTCAAAGAACAATCGCCGAAACTCCAAATTTTCCCAGTCGCGGATCTGAGAGCTCTATTCGCAAGAAATTTTTTGAACCTCATGATCACAAAAATCGCCTCATATCACCCATTCACGTCGCGAACCGAATGCGATGGAAATTTTTCTAATCACCTTTTAGCCTTCGCGGCGCCGCCCGGAAATAATAGCATCACAAGAAGAAAAAAGAAGTCATATTGCATAAGCTCGTATTACTTTGCGTGATCACTCTACGTTATTGTCGGAATATCTCCACCGGCTACAATACATTACTCGTATCCAATCACTTACCCCATTCACAACCTCCAAGTAATCCGATCCACATGGTGTGCACAGGTGCATGGATTACTTTATTCTGAGCTTCCCCCTTTTGAGCTGTTTAACCGTTAAACACGCTTCGTGTCACTCAGTCTAGCCGTCCAGCGAAGCTTGCTTAAGCTCCCTGCAGCCATCAAGCACGATATATCGATACGAAATGTGACAATACAGTGCATACTCCCGACCCCAGAATTTCAAAGGTCCCGAATCACCAACTAACCCCTCTCGAGTTAGCTATTTTATATCTCCTGACTCGAAGGTCCCGTTAGCTTTATACTCGTCCACCTGCCCTACACTAACCCACTAAAGCCAAATCATTAACGACCACACCTTCAAAACGCCCCTCACACCTGTCACCGACTTCATATCGCAACCCCAGCGTACGAGCCCTCTTAGCTCAATCGGAAGAGCGCCAGACTTTTAAGATCTACCAAGGTCTACAGGTGATCTGGCGGTCGTGAGTTCGAGCCTCACAGAGGGCGTTAGCGTATTGAGGTTGCAAGTTGTATCGAGTCTTAGCTTTCGTTGAGACCTCGATGTGACTCTCTTTTTGTTTTTGGCAGGTGGGAGTTGGTAGATTAGTAATGTTGTTGGGATTCGAACTAACAAGTAACCTTTCATCCCCTAAACTCGGTACTTGCGAATGATGAGCTTGGAACCAAGGTATCGTAGATGCCTTGAGCCGTGGATAATATTTTTCGTAATATACGAGGTTTCGGGATAGTTAGGGATCTTGGTTATACCGTCTACGGATCTACAGTTCCAGGTAGATGTCTACAAGGACAAGGTCGTTCCCAATGTGGAAAGTAGCCTGTTTAAGCATGCAGCAGGCATCTACTACATCGATCTACAGGAGTAAAATTCAATATGTAACCCATGTCTGGATTCCGATTCTAGCCACTCTGCTCCCTCCGTCTTCCAGTTATCTTACCTAAAAGATTCCATCGATTTCGTAGACAATGCAATGCTAGTAAGCGGCTACTGCACTAGAAAAAAACCACAGGTACAACACAGTACAAGAACTTTAATACTAGTAAGGAGCTATCCCGTCCCGTCCCGCTCAGTTATGCGTTATCTCTTTCCAGGGCCGGGGTCGGAACGCTTGTAGTAGGAGTCTAGTGGTACGACTAACAAACCTTTTCTTTGATTATCTACACCTGTTAGTCTCCAAGCACTCTCTAGCCCGCCCCTCCAGCCGGTAGACGTGGTGTAGCCCTTTGCCCACAGATTTCGCCTTATAAGCCTATTTTCTGCCTAAGGCTACTTTGAAATATATCGATCTCGATTGTCAGGCGACGCTGTTAGCAATACTTTGTTCCAGAACCAGTTAAACGCGTGCTTCGAGACAAAAAAAAAAAAAAAAAAAAAAAAAAAAAAATCATGGTAAATTCAAGAGAACCCAAGTTCCAATCAAACTTAACAGTCGAGGACCCCAATTCGTGAAATGATTTGCAAATTGAGGTGGATCTCTCCCAAAGTTATAAAAGTATACTAGGCCAAAGTGGCTCAAAAGCAAAGGGGTTAGAGTTTACGAGGGATGTGATATATATTGTCCCGTCGGATCCCTTTTCAAGTATGCGCTCTAGACAGTGAAAAAGCGGTTCGTTCGAATACAAGCTGGATATCTAACCCCAGGAGAAACGGGGACGCCGAGAAGGTTGAGGTAGCATAAAAAGTATTCTAATAACATAATAGTATGAGACTTTGTCAGATACCATTATCCATGAGTGAGGGTTCCACAAGGTCATGTGGGGGAGCATTGCGATTCCCTGAGGATTTCAAGAACTCGAAGCTCGTGGGCTCGTTTCCCGGACATGTAGATAATGGTCAGCATCTATAGCATAATCTGTTATACCTTATCACGACGCCCTCCGGAGTCCATATACGAGGGTTATTGGGCGTGTCCTTTCGATTCAATTGGCCTGTGTGCTGCCTAGAATATACTTTGATATCGTTCCAATTGCGAACTGGAAATTTAATAGGTCAGCAGATTATCTACTAAGTATAGGCCTACATGCGTGAATCCAATTCTGCAAGAGCCTTCTATCACATCGCCCGCATCAAATGAGATATACCCATATACACATCTTCTAAATATTAGTTATCGGTGTATCCGAGTTTCAAGCGTGAAGGGTTTTCATTTCTTCCAGGGTATTTTCAGGGACTAAGGCCTGTAGACCTTATCCAAGTATGCGTAAAGGCGATCAGGGCACCGGAAGCATCAAGACTGAGCCGAATGCTCTGTAGATTGAAGGCTTTAAAGGGGAAAACTTAAGTTGCTCAATTTTCCGCGGCTTCGATTATGCATTTGAATCTAGAAATTGATATAAAAATATCAATACTCCACATTCGCTCTTCGCGAAAGAAGATTAAAGTTTATATTTGTCGTGGTGCCATATATCCGGGCTGCAGGGACGGACAGGGTTGTTAATCTTGCATGATCTTAAGAAAAGCTTCGAAAGCTTGCTTTACCTCTGGATACGCATGGCTTAGCGAATCCGTACCAATCGTTTTACCACAACCGTGTACAGTAACCATTGAACTCCCAGGCAAGTTGCTAAAAGTAGGTCTTCAAGTGGAGTACCAACCTGTGCGACCGTGGGAGGACCCTGCCTCGCCAAGCGTTCGGAACCTACAACAACGTTTCAGAAAGGCACTACAACTTTATCCGGGCACAAGTCGAGATCAGTAATCGTTCTGATATTCTGGGAATTATATTGAAGCAATCACAATTGTTCAGGCTAATAATTTTCGAAACTCCGTAAAATAGAAACTATCACCAATTGGTCTCTAGATTCAACAATAACTGTAGGCGAAGCTTTGGTCTGTGCAGTTCCTGCCTCGGCGTGCCCGATTATTCGATGGCTGTATCAATTCAATCGATCAAAATCGACTGCCTAAGCCTCGAGGTTGTAAGCCAATGATATTGGGATTTGGGCGATATCATATCAAACCGCTGGTTGGATTACAAGATGAAGCTCGAGGCTTTGAGCAACGAGAAACAGCATAAAAGGCCACTGTAGAACCCTCCCAAGAGTATTTCCATTCTTCATGAGCTCAGAGTTTTCTTGATTCAAAACCGAGCCACATAGAGCTAGAGAACTTCTTAAGCTACTCTATATACTCTTTAGTCTAATTCGTCTCGGTGTCGCGAATCGACCTCCACTAAGTCCTCAGCTAGCTTTCCGTGTATCTTCGCATTACACATCAAATTTTTGTTAAAAATGAAGTGGAATCAACTTTTCTCTAGCTCTCTTGCTGTTACCCTTTGTGCAACTGGAGTTCTCTCTACTCCATTTCCTGCACCCAAAGCTCGAGATCCAGCTCCAGGAAATGAGTATGTATATGTCCATTCTTTTGTGTATCCTCGGGATAAATTTGTCTAACTTCGATATACTATATAGCACCCATATTCTTACCGGCGACGCTAGATTTGAGGCCTGCGAGCTGGCTGAGAACTGTGAAGTCTACGTCGACCCACAACATGGCAAAAAGGTATGTTACTCCTACGTATTTATATCATGGAAAGCATCACTAAAGCATTCGTCCTGGATAGATGCGTTTCAAGAAAGGAATGGAGCCAGGGACGGCTGCCTATAACGCGACCATTGCGAAGGCCGGACGCCTTGCTGCTCGCGCGGAACCGTATTCTGTTCTGAATATTGGGGAAAACGTTATCGTATACGGAACCCAGAACCCGTACGATGTCGTCTGGGTCATGTGGGATGCCTGTCAGGCGGGCGGATGCGGTGATCAGAAAATTTACAAGAACACCCAGCGCGTCGCACCAACCGTTGCCAATGGCTACTGGGGCACCGAAGTCCACTGGTACAGCATGATCGTAAATTCGAAGGGCTGGTACAGCACATGGGATCAAAGAAACAGAATGATTCAATCCGTGCTTGCCGCATGTCAGGTTGAACAAAGATGGGAGAAGAAATACTGGCAATTGTATCAGTATAACGGACAGAATTCCTACCCTGCTGGTAACGGCGAGCTTTGGGAAGGTAGCCAGGTAGATTACTTTCAAGTCGGTTTATATGTGACCAAGGGTGGTGCCATGCTGGCAACGCTGGAGGTTAGCGTTAAGTCTGACTATTCCGTACCTACTCGCGCGGGCTGTGGTCTGGTCAAACTCATGCTTGGTCAACTTGGAGGAGCGATTAGCCCAATTTTGGGCGGTGCCGTCGAGGTCTTCACATATCTTACCGGCTGCTAATTTAACTTTTAAATCTATAGCGGTGCAGATCTAGAGACTGGTCAGGTACTTGGGAAAAGTATCGTGGCTGCTGTCTCGTTAGTATTAGATCGGCAAGATATGTACCAACTACATATGTACATAGTCTCGTTCGTGGCCAGATATGTACATCCAAATACTAATCTAGAAATTTGAATGCCCTAAAATGAAATTAGGTGCACATATACATATAGAAAACTCCGTGTTACCCAGAGTAGCATCCAAACTGGGATTAAAAGTAGTTGCTGTGACAGGTAAAGGGTAGCCTCGAATCGTTCGAATGAAACTCTCTGCTAATTCTTAATTCGAGCTGTATGAGGGATAAAGATTTAGTACGCTACAGAGCCACTCGTGGTCACTCCATTCGGTTGATTCTCTGAAACTATGCTCGCTTTCTTTGTCCTGGCCCTCATCCTTCTTAGAATAATTCCCGCTACCCCCGTTATCATCCCTGCTATCCTCACCACCATCCTCTCTATCCTTACTATTAATACCGTTATTACTATCCCTGATATCCTCATTACCCCCATTGTCATTCCTGCTACTCTCACTATTGCCCATACCACCATCAGCCACACCATCATCCACACAACCATCCCCATAATCATCCTCCATACCATCATCGCTACTATTCTCGGATTTATAATAGTAAGAATCATCGTCCGGTCCAAAGTCTGTCTCGATCTTAGGTGGAATGAGAAAGTCACTTCTTTCAATTGTGATCTGGTCCCTCGATAGCGTGTTCCCATTGCTATCGAGGAAGATATCGACTAAGTCCTCTGGAGACACCTTCCACTCCTCACCCCTCATTAGAGGGGTTTCGTCTATAACGCATCTCAAGCTTTTGAGAGAGCCAGTATATCCTGCGAGAGTTTCATAATCGCTTGTGCGAAAAATGCAGTTGATAAGTTCGAGTCGTTTGATTGGGGATTTGCGGGTAGAAAATCCGATATCCTTAGGGAGCGCAGATTGGAGTGCAGAGCACCGACAAATTCTCAAGGTTTCAAGGTGTGGCAGCAGCATGATCTTAGGAAGTTGCTTGGCCGGCCAGCCACGTCGGCCCTTGTCGGTGCAAGATCCGTGGGAGAACTCTTTAATGTTGGAGAGCCCCGGGAGCCAGTCATTCGGATCAAGAGCGGTATAAAACCACAATAGTTCGTCGGGTATGCACATTGCACCGATTGCCTGAAAGTAATCCCTGCCATCATCCCATCTATCCTTACCAGTCCATTTGAAATCGCATCC